GGATCCTGACAGATACAATAAATACCCATCATGGCGTCATATGTACTACCACAGATTTCAGCAAATCCGCCTGCCGGGCATTTAACGGATTCTAAAATAACCCACAGGGCACTGCTGCTTTGGACTCTCCCGCAGATTCCGAACAAAATAACAGAAGCGGGATTTCGCGGATCTCACTTCCGCAGATCTGAACAAGATACCAGAAGCGGGATCTCGCTTCCACAAATCCGAAAGTGATTTGCAGCAACGGGATTTTGCGGATCTCAGAATTTCGTACTGCTATGGATTCGTGGTCCCACAGATCCGATGAAGGTACCAAAAGCAGAATTTTACGGATCACGGTTCCGTAGATCCGAAAAAAGATACCGGAAGCGGGATTTTACGGATCACGGTTCTGCAGATCCGAAAACGATACCAGAAGCGGGATTTTGCGGATCTATCTTCCACAGATCCGAAAGAGATACCAGAAACGCAGAGATTTTTTGTGAATTTTCGCACTTGACTGACTCTTACTATGGATTCGCATGGATTCCAAGTTTCACAGATCTGAAAAAGATACCAGATGCAGATTCGCTTCCACAGATCCCAACAGATCCCACTTGGCATTCATATGACCTCATATGGATTACGAATCCCGCAGATCCGAAAAAGATACCAGAAGAGGAATTTTTCTGATCTCGCTTGCACGAAATCTGGAATTTACCAAACTTATATAGCATGGGTAATACTATCTTTCCGAGTTATATTATACAATCTGCATCCCTTATAAATCGGGTACCTAACACATACATGTAACTTTCTTGAGGAAGGCAATGAAAAGAAGCAAAGTCTAAATGATGCCTCTGATTGGCCAGCTAGCGTACGCATGCGTACCGTGTTGGCGGTTAGAATGAAAACCGTTAGGAAAGTTGGCTTCGAAGCAGGGGACTACTAGAGAGAAATCAGGCGTTTGCATCGCTTTTCTTCGTGATACCATGATGACATAACTAGTCTACCATGATCGGCCATCGAGTTTGGACAGGATTGATAGTATTTGGACAGGAGGGGGATGTGATGTCAATTCAAACGCACAGAATAGTGACGCTGGTAGCAAACTTCCGCCCCCTCCCCCTTGCACGGCGGCCCTGCACACTTGATCCAACACATCGAGCGTTTGGTAAGTTCAGTTATCGTACCTATTTGGTTATTGATATGTCGCTGCCAGAACATTATAAAATGTACTCTAACTAACCTG